CTGCTGAACCTGAGCCATCTGTTGAACCAGAATTTTCTGTTGAACCAGAATCTTCTACTGAATCTGAACCTTCTGCTGAACCAGAACCTTCTGCTGAACCTGAGCCATCTGCTGAGTCTGAATCGTCTGCTGAACCTGAGCCATCCACTGAACCTAAACCGTCTGCTGAACCAAAGTCTTCTAATGAATTAGAGTTTTATCCAGAATCTTCCACAAAAACGATTAATACCGAACTAGTCAGTTCTGTGGAACCACAATCTACTGAATCTAATAAATCTGAACCTACTGGAGAATCGCAATCGTCTATTGAAGTAGAATCTTCTGCTGAACCGATTACCGAAACAAATTTTGCTAGTGATTTATCAACAAAATTAACTACAATCGAACATCCAGAACTACCTCTTCAATCAGATTTCACTGTTAGGCCTGAAATATCCAGGGAAGAAGATTCTTCTACCGAACACGAATTATCAACCTTATCACCCATCGAATTATCCAATGATGAAAAATCTCGTGATATGCCTTCTATTATTGAGCATTCTACCGAAATGCAAAACACTATAGTGCCAAAAGATTCTACCGAGAAAATATCTCTCGATAAAACTGAATCTTCTGCTGAGTCTGTAATTGTGAATAAAGAATCTTCTGAATCAATTAACGAATTAGCCTCTTTCACAGAATCACCTGAGGTTGAAAAAGAAACAGCAAACACACTTACACCTAATGTTCCTACAAATATGGAGTCAGAATCTACAACGCCAATGATGCTTAGTGAAACTACATTACCAAATAACGAAATGGTAAACAATGATGAACCTTTACCAGTGATACCTCTGATCCCTAATAACGAAGAGACTATGACGTCTAATCATTCGTTTTCCGAGGATCATTCGGAATCAAGTGTCACAATTGTAGACACAACGGTAATGGAAGACAATGAAGAAAAGATAACAACTTCAAGTCCTATAGAAATAGATAAAAACGAACAAGTCACTGAAACAACCAACGTGCCACAAGATGAAACAACTATATACACTACAATAAGCATGAACAATGATGGAACGATGACCTCTTCGTCAGAATCTAGTTCCTCATCCATCAATCCTCAATCTTTAGTTCCTGAAGTAGAATCCACCACTAATTCTGAGATAACCTTCCCTAATACAATGACAGACACCAAATCGGAAAGCGCAACTGAATCGAATTCCGTTGCAGAAACTAACAGTACAGAGATGGAGCCTAACGAAGAGCCTAAATCTCAGAATGCGTCAACATCGTCAAATGAATCCACTATGGAACCGGAATCACCTTCTCGTGAGACCAATGAGACCAACGTAATTGAGCACATGCCAACGACCGTCTTCCCCAAATTGCCAAAGAATTTCGGCCATAACGTGGAACCTCTGATAGAACCGCTGGTAAACGACACGGAAGAGCACATTATGCTGATACCAAAAACAGAGCATACCACGGAAGTTCACGATCCTCATGCGATTATTCCACAATTGATTCCCGAACAATCCTCGAACGGATCATCGACAGGCGCCGATTCGGCGAGAAATAAAATTCCATCCTCTACGGAAGTTGTAGAGACAACTCTTCGCCAATCCACTATACGTCCAGAGGAGAACGCGGTCTCTTCGAGCGATCCTGTCCGCTACGAGGAGAATTTGGACCATTCGACCAATCATCCCCTGCATCCAGCGATATTCCCCGAGAACACGGTCGAACACGCAACGGAGAAATTCGACTCTGCCTATGACAAGCACGCGGAGGATATGTCCCCTTTCTTGCCGGATGTCCAGAAGGAAAAGGAAGTGAAGAAGGCGCCTAGATTGGACAAGGACGAGCAGGACGTGCCCAATCCTTTCGAGGGCCATGTCGAGGACGTGATTACCGACAAACCTTTGGTAGAAACGTCTCCTTCCACGGAACGAAACACTAATGAAACCGAATTAAAGGATTCTCTGAACGACGTTGCACGCGACAACACGAATGATGAGCGGACCGGGAACGAAGTTGGTCGTGGATTCAAAAATGGCGGGTTGGACGTTGTCGAAAGTAACGATACGGAATCTGGGATTCAAAATGGGCTACTGCTCACTTATGATAAGTCAGCTGGGAACGAGGAACACGTTGCGAGCGAGAACGAGAGTGGAATAATTTCCGAGGAAGATGAAGAAGCGTTGAAAGTGGTTCCGTTAGAGGAACAGTTCAAGGAGATCGAAACCACCATGAAATACGATTCGAGTAAAGATAAATCAGAAATCACAGAAGCTGGCCCAGTTATGACCGAAGAGGAGAACGAAAAATCGACAGATAATGTTACAAATCAAACGTCTTCGGAAAAGCCAGAAGAGAATGCTGTGGAGGATCAGTACAACGACATTAACGACGACAGTTTGAGTAAAGGGTATCAGCAGGACGACACAGAAGTATCCAAGAAAATTAAGGATGGATCTAACGAGTTAATAAATAATGATGGAAAATCGTTCACCGCGAATGAACCTCGTCTGAACGATAGAACGAACGCGACGATGAACGACACCGAAGACACGCCAACCACGATTGGAAATATCCCCGACAAGCATCCAGAGGATGCCAAGTTGACCACTCAGATACCTGTGCTACCATTGGAAATACAGCAAGAGATGTCGACAACTGAGAAAGTAGAGAGCACCACTGTGACTGAGGAGAATCCTCAACGAAGGGACAACAGCACGGAACGCCAGAACGCAAACGTGAACTCAGAGGATGGAACGACGGTTCAGGTGCCAACTACTCACACCGTGTCAATGGAGACAAAAACCACCGCCCAGATACCGATACTGCCAGAAGAATTGCAGACTACTGAAAACGATGCGTTGTTAACCACCTCCACCATGAAGTCAGATATCGAAACGAAAACTGGCAATTTGGAAAACGCGTCTTCTGATAGCGTTGAACGAAAGGATGCTAATGGAACTCGAATAATTAATTCAGGAAAACAGATAAATAGTCAGAACGATATTGCTGATGATTCGATGATGGCCAGTGCGGTGGAAAACGTGGACAATGAGAGTAACGATAACGAGTCGTTACAGGAAAGTGTTTCAATGTTGGATAAGAATAGCACAAGTGAGGAAAATGCGACAACGGCAACGAGTATCGAGGAAAACACGAGGGAGAATGTGACAGAAACTTCAACGCTTGAACCCTCTCCTTCGATGCCCAATAGTGAGACCGCAACTACGACAGAATCATCGCAGAAAATGTCGGAGACTTCTACCACGGAGAATGTTAAACCAGTGATCGAAATATTAGAAGATGACACTGTACCTATAAGATTCGACTACAGGACGCATTTCGTTATGACCACGCCTAAGGCCAACTTAAATGTGGGGGATCTGACGGAGGAGGATTTAAAAGTGATTCCATTGGAAAAGACTTTAGAAGTGAAGAAGAAATCGATCGACAAAAAGGTTATTGACAAATACAAGTACAAGAAAGAAAAGGAGTTGAATTTGGAGGGAAACGAGGGTGAGAACGTGTTAACGGATATACCGGAATTATCGTCTACTGAAACCTCACAAACTGTAGGGGACATCAAGGAAGAGATAATCAGCAAAGAAGAAAACTCTGTACCAAAATTGAAAATCATCGAGACGACCAGTGGATCGAATCAAACGGATGTTCGACCCTCTGCCGCCGACGAGAAGAAAAATCTCGATGGTAAAACCAGCATAACGGTGCCAGACGCGGCGAAGAAGTATCCCAGTTTCATACCCGTTTCAGAGAAGATCATAGAGCCAGAATTTGTTACAGAACCGTTCATACCTCTTCGAAACTTGCATCATTTCCATCGATCAGACGTTGCGACAGAACACCCATCAACGAACGAATCGTCTAACGATGACCGTACGACCATGGAACCGGGACAACCAATAACTCTGGACGAAAAAATGACAGATTCTTCGGTATTTCCTACAATCCAATCGTCCATTCCTTCGAGCATAGTCGCGAAAGAGTCGAGCACGACTGATACAATACCCGTTTCATCGACGCAAACAAAATCACCGGAAACGATAACCATGGAAACAACCAGCCACATAGACGTTTCGTTCCTGAATCTACCTTCGAACGCCGTATTTTCCAAATGTGCGGCTGGACAATTCCAATGTGTGAACGGAACGTCGAGGGATGGCGCGTATTGCGTGAAACTGTCCGCCAAATGCGACTCTGAGAACGATTGCTCGGACGGATCGGACGAGTTGAACTGCGAAGGTTGTCCAGGAAATTTCAAATGTGCTAGCGGGCAATGCCTGAAACGAGACCTGGTCTGCAATAAAATCGTCGACTGCGACGATGGCAGCGACGAGAGGAACTGCGAGGAATGGAAGTGTCAATTCGACGAGTTCAGGTGTCCAAGTGGTGAGTTGACTGATGATTACGATTATCGTGTCAATTAGATCGAGAGATTTGATATCAGAAATTTTGAAAAACGGTGAAGAGATAAAAAGGTAACAAAAATTGAATGCGAATTTGAAAGAGTTTCGAGAAACTGTTGTTAAAAATTATTTCTATTATTAACGTAGCGTTTATATCGAATGTAATGTTCTCTAGAAGAATAATTCTCAAGAATTTTATTCTCTCAAATTCAATTCACATTTTTATAGAGCGTACGCTACTTACATTTCAATCTATAAATTCTGCATATAATATTCTCTGCATAGAATCTTGCGAAGAATTTTTTAGAACTTCGCGTGTTTCTTGTTAAATTAGGTCACCATGTTTTTCTTGCTGATCTGGTTAAATAACTGGCTTTTGGAATAATATTACACGCTAGTTTACTTTTTTCTTCCGCCAATTACGTTCCACCTTGACCAATCGTGAACAAAGTAAAAAACGAGAGGTCAGAATAAATTTTTCACAATTACGCATGGATTGATTGATCGCATGCAAATCGGAATTATCAGAGGGGAAGAAGTGAAAGGGAAAACGTGACATAACGCACGCTCGACTTAATGGGATCCCGTTTAATGCAGGATTTCGCAATCGAGCGAGGAATGTTTCGATATATCGGACGAGATGTTTCTTTTCTACGGGTTATCAGTGTCAATACTTATCGTTCGAGCAAATTGCTTAATCTTCCCAACTATTTAGAGCTAGCGGATGCCCTCTCGAAGTCGTCTGACAAGAATCGTCTAGTGGTATAATTAGTTACGTCTATTCTCTTATCTAACGTACTGACAATCCACTTAATCCATTTCACAAATATCACGTGAAATTTATTTCATGATATTCTAATAAAATTCAACATCTGGTGGATCGAAGTTGATATAGTTATTTTGATTCATTTACGTTTCTAAAATTAATCTCTTGCTCTTTCCTCTTTCGTCTATTTGTAACTTGATAATTTCAAAGTTTACAGAGGAATAAGAATCGTTGTATTATTTAATATTTCGTTGTATTTTAATCGATCGTTGCTTTATTCAATTGTTTAATTTCAGGAAGATGTATTCCTGGCATCTGGCAATGCGACGGCCGACCAGATTGCGAGGATCATCGAGACGAGTACAACTGTGCCGAAAGTTGTGGGAACGACGAATACCTCTGTCCAACCGAGAAATGGTGTATACCATTGACCTGGCATTGCAACGGAGTCGACGAATGCGCGAACGGAGAGGACGAAAATTTATGCGATTGCGGTCTCGATCAATTCAAGTGTGAAACAGGAGGATGCGTGCCCGAAAATCAAGTATGCGATGGAATAGAACACTGTCCTGATCATTCTGACGAGTGGGGCTGTTTGATGGGGAACGTGACTGTAGAGAAAAAGTTAACGGACGGACAGAAAGAGGATAACGCCGGGAGTATCGGTGCTCAAGAATCGAGTAGTCCTTTACTGAAAGTAAGGTGCGTATAAAACGTCGTCATATAAAAATTTAAAGATTAAAATTCTTAAATTCTAATAAAACAACGATATCTCTGTCATTTAAAATATTCTTATCATTTCTTTCACATAATTCCCATTGCGTCAAATCATATCTATCTCTTATCGATGTTTAATTAACTTTGAGAATAATCTTATTAACCTCCTCTATTTCCTAATTTTTCCGTTATCATCATCCGAAACTAATTAACATAAAATTCTACTTCGCAATTACATTTCAAGGTTTGATACAACGACGATTTCAGTGTCGTTCTCTTAATCACCTCATTAAACGTAGAAAAAAAAAATTCTACACAACGATTATTATCGTTAATTATACCGAGAAAGATTAATTTCGCAAATAACTTTCTGCAATAAAAAAGAAAAAAAAATAACTGGAATAACTTCTCTCTTTTCAGACAATACAACGGCGAGTACCGTCTCGTTTGCTCCGATGGATGGAGCGAGGAATTCAGTACCTCTTATTGCCAATCTCTAGGATTCGCCGGTTCCGAGAGCACAGAGTTCCAAACGAGGGACAAAACTCAGAAGATTTTCAGATTAAAGGCGAATCCCAATCACCATGCGCCATTGGTCACGAATTTGGAACAAGTCGAATTCTGCGTCTCTGACAAAGTCGTGCAAGTCACTTGCCAAGAATTTTCTTGCGGATCCGATTATGGAGAAGGACCAACAGCGAGATTGGTTGGTGGAACTCCGGCCAGCGAAGGACAGTGGTCCAGCGTGGCTCTATTGAAGGAACCTAAACTCGGTGCTGCTTGCACGGCCAGCATATTGGGTCCTATGCACGTACTTGCCAGTTATTCCTGCATCCACAGGTAAATATCGAGATCGATTGAAAAAATGAAAATTAATATTCAATCTTATGAATATTCGAATGGAACTTATAATCGATTAATTAATTAGATATAATTATAATTCTCGAAACAATATTTTAAATCTTGAAGAAATTTTGAATATTAACAGATATATTTGTCTTTTTCTTTTTAGATATAAGCAGAGCAATGGATGGCAGCTTTTCACCGGTGAAAATCTGCTTAAAGCACATCCTGTAAGGAATATTATTCCTTATCCTCAAGTGAAGTACAATCAATTCTTGTATAACAATGATATCGCATTGGTGGAATTAGAGGAGCCTCTAATCTTTTCGAGGAATGTCAGCGCCATCTGTCTTCCGAAACATCCTATACAGGTTTGTATATTAAGAAAATATTTGATATCAAGAATGTTTAGAGATATTAGCGAAGAAATGTTTAAAATATGCGTGTGTTTATCTTTTAGCAATTCCAGCCGAGACAAATATGCGTGATGGCTGGATGGGGATTTTCTGTGAACGGTGAGGTCGATTTGCAGAAGTATCTCAACTTCCTGCCATTGCCAACGTATGATATCGAAGAATGCAATGCGACCACTCACTATGCAGGGTTCATTACGAAAGACAACATATGCGCTGGATTCACTGATACGAATAAAGGACCTTGCTACGTAAGATTCTTGCCTCTTTTCCGCAATTTTTTAATTCCATTTATTAATCTTTCTATCGTCCTATTGTTAAATCATAATTATGTCCATAAAGTTTAAGATAAATTTCATCTATATTACTTGTATAAGATAATTAATTTCAACTCTGTGCCTTATGCGATAAAATGAAATAATTTAAATAATAGTAGACTATCAACGATACTAGTTATGAATTAAGAAAAATAGATGGAGAAAGAGCAATTTATTCTATTATTCCTATTTTTTTTTTCTCTCTTTTACAGAACGACGAAGGAGCACCTCTAATGTGTGAATCTGGAGGAGGATCGGTCAGATGGGAAATTCAAGGTCTATTAAGTCATCACAGCAGATGTTCGAGAGGTCATCCGGCAATTTATTCGAGCGTGGAACCTGCGTTATCTTGGTTGCGAAACTCCGTACCTGCTTTGCAAACGCAAAGCTAAAGAGCTATAACGTGATTTCGTTCTTTCCACGAGAATACAAAAAATATATTAGATGAATTTTTTCTTCTTTTTTAATTCGTACGAATTGATCATAATGATACAATGAATGAACGAACGAATAAATTAAATAAGTCGATCGAAAAGGAACTATTGAGTGTAAAAGTTCCTGTTGAAATTCATGAAACAAAAACAATGTACTTAATTTATATCCGTCTTTGTTTTTCACAGTATGTTCCTATTTAAATGCAAAGAACGCGGATTTGATAGGTAGCAATACGTAATCGCGGCCATAATTCGTTCTGCATCAGAAAAATCCTAAATGTTAAATGATTTCTTTTTTTTTTTTTTTTAATTATCTTTACGATAATTAATATTCTGTGGCAAGTTGTGCTCACAGGAAGTAAAAAGATGACGGAGATAACATAATTGGCAATACAAGATATTTACAATTAAGATTATTTGTAAATACTGTATAAAGTGACTGTTTAATATGCTTAACATTGTAAGAGACTTTTTTTTTACATGTTTAGGAAATTAGGTCTCTTAAGAATGCTGTTTTACAAGTATTCAAATATGTAAAACAATTTAACACATTCATTTATTCTGCTGAATACCCAACAGGTTTCGTGTAACAACTGTATCTAACAGATTTATGCTGACATACACTTTTTAGTTTACTATCTCAAAGAAATATTAGCAGAAGTGTAATATTACTGATTGAGTGTAATGTCTGCGTGAATTGTTTATATAAATCCAGTTATTAGATATTACAAAAAGTAGCAGCAAAATGAAAATATTTATTGGAAACAAGAGACCATTGAATAAATACATTTGATTATTGAATAATAAATAGTTTGTCTCAGAAATCATAAAAAAAGATTTCTGAAATGAACAATAGAATAGGATAAAAAATAGATAGGAGATAAATGTATATAATATATGAGTATTTTAATAAAATACATTGTTATGAAGAGATACAATAATAAAATATGTTTATGTATGCATAGTCATTGATGAATGCATAAGTATTTTTATATGCTAAGATAAAAAATAAATGTATTTTAAATGAATTTTAAGCTTTCTTATTTTTAATATAAATAATTTTATTGTTATTTATACAATAAATAATTCTTTGTTATTTATATAATAAATCCTTAATCTAATTGTTTTTTGGGCATTGCTGCAATTTCAGCTGTTGTTACAATAGCATCTATAGTAATTAATGATTTAGAAATACTAGTTATTACATCATTATATTTGGAAAAAACTTCATTTATATGATTATTTAATCCTTGGGTATCTTCATATAATTTAAGGTATGATAAATTCAAATCATTGAGTTTGTTTGTTAATTCTGGTACATTTCTTAGACGATCAGTTTCTAATACAGGTGTTAATTCTTGCATTTGTTTTAACATTTCATGATTTTGCTTTATTTCTGATGCCATTGCTAACAACAATTGAAGTTTGGCCTCTATAGGAATTTCTAAACTCTCAATTATTGGATCTAAGTAAGTATTTAATTCTGGTAATCGCTTTATCATTAGATTTGCTTTTTCTCTTCCTGACATTGCAGAGGAAACTAATGTATTTACATGCAAAATATTATCTATCACAGGATTTTCCAACGTATCATTATTTTCTTTTTTCTTTGTAAATCCATATATTTTCTTTTCCAATTCAATAACTCTATCTTCTAATAATTCGATAGCTGCCATTCTAAATATTTAAAAAACAGAATGATAAAATAATTATATATATTTTCATTAATGTATTACTATTTAAATATATAAATATATAACATATTGAGTTTCAAGAATTTGTAATACTTATCTTAATTAACTGTAATTTAATACACTTACCCATGTTCAATACATATATATATATAATATTAAATATAATAACAATTAATAAATATTACTTTATATATTGTTAATATATATTGTTAATATATATTGTTATAAATCAATAATGTAGTACAATTTAAGTAAATTAAAAAAAATTATAATAATATTATATTACTTACCTGAGAAAATTTAAAAATTCCACTAAAATAACTTCAATTTACACCACAAATGTGTAATAAATGATAATATTTATATATATGACAGTAAATTTATAAAATTTGACAGATAAAATTAGGTTATAATAAGTATACGACTATGATCTGAAGTAATGCAATATATAACTGCTTTTGTTGGCATTGCAACTTACTTCAGAGTAATCAAAAATGGCGCTAATATAAATATATCACAATTTTAAATTTTTATGTATTTAAAACTTAATATCTTCATAATTACAATGTTTAAACATAAAAAATATTGAATTTGTATCGAAATTTTCATAAATAATATAAACAATGATTAAATTTTTATAAATTGAAACTGATTATTACGTGATTATTACGCATAATCTTCTATTGCATTGCTTTTAAATTAATTCAAACAAGAATATTACATGTTTAATGTTTCAAAAATAAAAAATAATATATATTATATATATATATATATTCCTCATAAACGAAAAGAGATAATTATAATCATTATTGTTTTAAAAAATAATCTTTCATTGTACACAGCTATGAAACTTACCGAAATCCTGATGTAAAAGGACGAAATATTGCTTTAAATAGACGCACTGTAATAGTACATAAATATGCATATACATACAGACGGTTATAGCTTCGTACACTTCTCGTAGTTCACACTTTTAAATAAACTCTTGATCTCCCCACTTCACTTTGAGAAACTGTTACAGACGAATACCAGACAATGTTCCGTAAGAGAACCGCGAGTGGGCGACTATACGACAAGGCGCATGGTAGGGATACAGTATCTGTCATGGCCGACGTTTACTGGGAGCGTAGTTTTGGTCAGACCGCATTAGTGAGCGGTACGTGGTGTGTTTAGTGGTAGAAAAAAACATGGGGTACGATAATGGGCAGACGGTCAAGCGAAGAAGGCGTTAGCGAACTCTCGGTCCTGATAAAGGACAATTTATGCGAGAGGTCCGCGACGATGGAATCACGAGCACGGAGGACTCGGTTACGTAGCGTTGTAGGGATATGTTTGTTTCTCGCGCTCACGGGCATCATTTATCTCGGTTACTTCTGTCCTGATCACGTATGTGCTTTAACGAGCCGCGAGATCAAGGAGTCCGTAAGATTGTCCGAGGGTCTATCCGCTGGTCCTGGCTCCGGTTTGTCTTCCGTCTCCGTCGAATTCGACAAAAATGGCCTGCTCTCGGTACATCCTGCTTTTAGATTGCAGAGTATTCAGGGAAGCCTTGGTTACGACGACGTGTTTACCAATGATACTTTCCAGTTTGATATCAATGGTCACGATGTCATCGTTTTCTTGCATATTCAGAAGACTGGTAAGTAAAGTTTGCATTATTATTTAATTCAGATTTTTTTTTTAGATATTCATATATCAATTTTGTTCTTTTATTATTAGTTATGAAAAATATGCAATAAGAATTTTTATCAGAATAAAATTTTATTTTGCAAAATGTTTATTTTTTTTTTTGATATAAATTTTTTTTCCATTATAATTTTATGTTAATTTATATATTAGTTAAAATTCAATTCATTTGATTATTTATTTTTAATGAAAATATTGAAATGATATATAATGAATTATATAATATAATATATAAAATAACTTATTATTAAGAATCTTTATATAAATATTTTTTTGTTTGATTTGTATCTTGATTTCTTTGAATAAATACCAACCAATCCTATAGCTTAATAAAAACAATGCAACATCCCTTCTGACCATTGTACAACTGAATCTTTGCATTATTCATCAGGCACTGTGAAACCTCCAAGCTCTATCTTAGAAAGAGAAAGAACAATTCAGGGATGTTGCTTTGTTTAATATGCTATGCATGCATATCTGTATTTCCTTTTTGTTTTCCACATGTATGCTTCCCATAAGATTTTCTTTATCAAGATACATAATAGAATATGCATATCATAAATATTTGCTTAAAATTTGCTTTCAATATATATATATATATATATATA